CCGGCCAGCGGAGACCTTTATAATTCATTCAACGTCCCAAGCCCGGCTGAAGCCTCGCTCCATCTTTTCCCCCATCTCGGCCCCGTGCTCGCACCGTCCCAGGTAACGTTAGCTGACCCAGAGTTCAGGCAGGGTTTAAGACTTCGGATCCCACTAGTCTGTGAATGAAAGCTTGCAGCCAAGGGCAGCTTGCGGGCAGAGCTGTTTTCTCTCCTTCCCTAATAAAAGGCAAACCCCTCGCTGCCTGGGAGAGCTGCCTGACCCCTCTCTGCCAAGGCAGGACCCAGAGTGGGTGAATGAAGTGATTTAATAACAGGAGTTTACTGCAATAAGTGTCCCTGTGGGGGATATACCACAAGTGCTGGCTGCTTTGCTGGAAAAAAGAATTAAAGCTTGTTTCTCTTAAGCTGTGCAGCCTGAAAAGGCTTTGCTTGAGAGAGATGAAGAAACTGGAAACAGGAGACTGCGATAAGGTTGTGGGAAGGGGGGTCTGGAGTCAGGTGGTTGGTGTTAAACATGGGGTGAGCAGATAATTACCTTTACTTCTAGGAAAATGAAGTAGCTGTGAAGCTGGCAGTGTCTGGGATGTCTTTATTAGCTCCTTAATTTAATTGAAATCCCTTGCGGGGAAGGGCTGGAAGGGGAATCTGATTCCTGACAGCAGAGATCTAATATAGTTGTCTGCTGTAGTTGGTGGGAGGAGGGCAGGAGCCTTTCTCAGCAGGGGACAGCCGATCTGCCTTTTGTTTCTTTTGTAATTAATAGGTAAGCTAGCTCAGTTTGGGCTGTTAAACCTTTAACTGTGCTGGCAATTGAGTGTCTGTGTTAAAGAGATGCCTGCCATCCCAGGGGACCTGGCCTGCCACGGGGGTTTGACACCTGGGTTAGGGTACTTCGATCACCTGTCTCTGGCACAGCCTTCTCAAGGCAGCAGCTCTGTCTCAGCCTTTGCGGTGCTCCTCTTTTTATCCATGTTCCCTTCATAAAGGTTACCTTTGCTCAAGCAGTGGCACTGTGTGGTGTTTGGGTACATCTTCCAAAGCTGATAGAAATGTCAGATTAAATACGTGTAGCCAAGAGGCCAGCGGGATGTGAACCCTGTCTGAGACTTGCAGACATTTTCTCAGGCTGCCTTGAAAAACGATTTATTTTCTCTTTCTCTCTCTTTTTGAAGTGTAAGGCCTGCTGTGCTTCTGAAGCTTTCCTGTTTCTTATGGATCAGATACCTTTGCTTTAGCCAGGTGCTTCTAGCAATGAAAAAGGATGCGTGAGTGTAAGCAACTGAATGTTTGGAAGTACTTAATGAAAAACACATAAATTTTTTCAGATGCCAAATGAGCTTGAAAAACAGGCTGGACATGCTGTCACAGAGTGATGAAACAGGTCTGTTTTGCAGCACCAGCAGTTAGGGCATCAGAGGAGCTTCCCTAATGCCACTGTGTTCCTGGAAGGTTTTGGCTAAAAGCTGGCTAAAGACCACAGATTTGTGTGGTTTCTCCTTCCATCTATGTTTTCATTGCTGAAACTATTTGGTTACTCGTTTTTCCAGCTCAGTATTTTTCTTTGCTCAAAATGGGGACTGTGGCGCTTTATCAAAGAGCTTAAAAAACAGTATTAGTTACTTCAAATGCTGCTTGTGTCAGCAGTGAGGCAAACTGCTGAAGGGCTGGGCGGGAAGTCTCCTGGACAGACAAGCCCCTCATGAGGCCCAGTCTTCCTTCCTCCTTCTTTCACAGCATCTCTCTTGTCTTTTCTCTCAAGAGACTTATGGTAATTCCTCAAATCACAATATATTTGAGTTTTCTGCATTTCCCTCCAGTACCTGCAGCTCTGTTCCTCCTGTTCACCCTGTTGCTTCTAGCATGGGCTCTGTGCATGCTCCTGTTTTTCATCCACCACGTAGTGGACTTTTGGATAGGAAGATATTCACGTGTAACGTCTGCATGGGATTTTGTCTCGCTTCAGCAGAGAGGCAGACTTGGTAACTGAACATCTCTCCCTTCTCAAAGTCCACTTGCATTTACGTGCAGGGTAGTTTACTGTCTTTTTTCCTCCTGCCCTTTCTTTTTGAATTTCAAGGGAAATTTTGTCTTGAAATATCTCAGCTGCTGCATTTCACTGCTGCCCAGGTGAGCTGCATGTGGTCTGGACTATGTAAAGGTGAGAAGCATAAAGGTGAGGTAAACAGGAGGACTGGGGGAAAGAGCTAGCTGTTCACATAACTAATTCCAGCCAGGAGAGAGCTGTTAGCTCTGATTAAACAAACACAAAGGCAAAATGTAAATCCTCTCTAGTCATATAGGTTTTTCTGTTTTCAACTCCTCTTACTTGTAGTATCTCTTGGAAAGATTTAATTTAAGGCTTCTCTGTGAGCTGTTTGTGGTGTCTGCTTCCAGCAAGAACAACAGAGAAGCAAGCGGTCTCATTGATTAGATTAAATATCTGGGTCACTTACCATTACCTGTGTTTATTCTCTGGTAAGTTTTGATATTGGAAGAGGATGAGATAAAAGGAGCGTGTGCAGAAAGAGATAACTACAGCTGGAGCTGCTCCAGGCAGAGGCCACTTTTTCTAAATGGATTTGTAGATGAGCTTTTCCTATCACTCTTGGGTCCTGTGTGAGGAGATATCAGTGTGTGCAAACAGGCTTGCTTCTTTCCCCCTGCCGCTGTTGGGTTAGTGGATATCCTTGATACCCAAAAGCCAAACTGGACAGAGTTTTCCCTCCTGGGTGTCTTTCTCAAAGAGTAGTCTTAAGCTTTGTGAGTCGTAATGGTTGGTTCAGGGAGTTAAGTCATTTCTTTAAGCTTTGTAAAGCCAATATATATCATAGTCAGCTCCTCGTTTTCTATAGCTGCAGATTTTCTTCACTTAGTTATTAAGTTTGCATATGAAATTTGACTAATTCTTTTGCCTTACACTAAATTTTCAAAGCTGGTGGGGGAAGTAAAGCATTCTCCCAGAACTTAGCATTGGCATTTCTACAAAACCCAATATTCTCTCTGGCTGGCTGGAGACTACCAAAGGGAAAAGTAAGTATTGTTGTGTGTCTTCAGATGCCTGGTAACTCTGGCTCAGGCTATGTAAGTTCTCTGGTGCCCCAGTTTCTGTCTGTAGCGAGAACGCTGGAGTCTTCCAGGATGTTGCAGCTCTGTCAGCATCTGTAAAGAGTTTCACGGGCTTTGCAGCAGTGTTTGAAGTGCAAGGTCAGTTGTATTAGCAGAGTTCTTGGTTACTGCAGGTGTCAGGCAGCAAGCAAGGAGCTCCCAGTGCCTCCCCCCAGCTATGTGGAATGAAACATCAGCTTCTGATCTGTTTCTGTTTAATATCTTTATCAACGATCTGGAGGAGGGGATCGAGTGCACCCTCAGTGAGTTTGCAGAGGACACCAAGTTGGGCGGGAATGTTGATCTGCTTGATCCCTCTGCAGAGGGATCGATGGTCCCAGGCCAATTGTACGGGGTTCAACAAGGCTCAGTGCCGGGTCCTGTGCTTGGTCACAACAACCCCATGCAATGCTACAGGCTTGGGGAAGGCAGAGTGGCTGGAAAGCTGCCCAGTGGAAAAATACCTGGGGGTGTTGGTCGACAGGCAGCTGAAGATGAGCCAGCAGTGTGCCCAGGTGGCCAAGAAGGCCAACGGCATCCTGGCTTGTATCAGAATTCGTGTGGCCAGCAGGACTAGGGCAGGGATTGTCCCCCTGTACTCAGCACTGGTGAGTCTGCATCTCAAATGCTGTGTTCAGTTTTGTGCCCCTCACTACAAGAAAGACATTGAGGTGCTGGAGTGTGTCCAGAGAAGGGCAGTGAAGCCGGTGGAGGGTCTAGAGCACAAGTCTTATGAGGAGCAGCTGAGGGAACTGGGGTTGTTTAGCCTGGAGGAAAGGAGGCTGAGGGGAGACCTTATCGCTCTCTACAACCACCTGAAAGGAGGTTGTAGTGAGGTGGGGTTCAGTCTCTTCTCCCAAGCAACAAGTGACAGGACAAGAGGAAATGGCCTCAAGTTGCACGAAGGGAGATTTAGATTGGATATTAGGAAAAATTTCTTCACTGAAAGAGTTGTCAAGCATTGGAACAGGCTGCCCAGGGAAGTGGGGGAGTCACCATCCCTGGAGATATTTAAAAGACAAGTAGATGTGGCGCTTTGGGACATGGTTTAGTGGTGGACTTGGCAGTGTTAGGTTAATGGTTGGACTGGATCTTAAAGGTCTTCTCCAACCTAAAGGATTCTATGACTTGCAGGACAGCCCGATTCCCTGCAGCCTGCTGAGGAATGAGTACAGCATTTTAGCAGCTGCAGAAATCAGAAACTTCTGAGCTGAAATCTTTCTGTAGTGCTAAAGCTGTCAGTGACTTGGGCACAGACTGTGGCTAAGAACCTTGCAAAACTCAATGGCTGAAAAGTGTGCATCTTAATCTCAAACCATGTTCTCTTTATAAAAATGTTTCCTTTTTTTTTTTTTCCCCTAGAGCTGGCTGGCTGTATTTTATTTTTTTTCTTGCTTAGCAAGTTGTCTGGAAACATGGCACCTCTGTTGATTTTATTGTTATTACCAATTTTTGAGATCTCTGCACTGAGTCAACTATGAAGTGGAGAAGCTGGTTGGACAGCCAGAGCACCAGTGCCTGTACTCTTCAGATAAGAAAATGAAGGAAAATTAGAAGTCTAAGATAAGAAATGCTTTCCAAGTCTGTGTCTTATCCAGTGATACCACATTTCTAAGCAATTTGGACAAAAGTGCTGTTAAAATCTTGCTGGGTTTAGACCTGACGTCCAGAAATTAATAAACGTGACAGGGCGTTTAGACCTGATATCTTATAACTTAAGGTTTTTGCCCTTGTTCTTTGTATTGAAGAGAGAAATCGCCTTCTAATGTCTAGCCTAAAATTAACCACAGTTGGTTTCTCTGCCATGCTAGCTGTGTCCTTCAGCAGACATAGAGATCTTCTTCCTCCTCACTGTTTTGCATACTTTTTCTAGAACTGACCTAAATGCTGGATTCCTCTAGTTCTTGGTTCTCTAACCAAGGTCACTTTTCTCTACTTCCCTGATCACTGTTGTTCTGTCCAGGAATGGTGAATTCAAACCAGGAAGGCTGGAGAGGGGGCAAGACCTGCAGCAGATGAGGCTTTGCCAGTATTTTGCACAAGAGCATTGAACACACAGCTGTCACTTCTGGAATTACTTGGCCTGATAAATCCTAGGATCTCATTTGTTTCTTCTCAGGACTATTTTCTGCTGTGGTTTATGGTGGTCACAAAATAAGACAAACACCCTTGTCTCTCCTCCTTCTGTTTCCAGCTCATGAGCACAGTTTGGATTAGCTTGTTTGTTTAAAAAATTCACTGACTCCCTAACAGTTAATTCCCTGTTGCTTCCATTACATGCAGTTTTTGAGGGCAGCCAGTTTTCACATGTGACTTCATGGTCTTTCTCCAGGGTGTTGGTGCTATCTGCAAAAGTATCTACTGCAGCTGGTCTAAACAAGGGTAAAACACCCAATTTTGTGGAGATTGCTGCATATGTGTGTTGTTAACAATAAGCGTGGATTGTAGGTGCTGGAAAAAGCTTGGCAGCATGCCTGATTGCATTGTCACTGGGAGAGTGCAAAAGTCAGGTACTTGGACTTGGCAGTGAAGGCGTTTAATACGAGACTCTCCAAATTCTGTGTTTAGTTATTTTTCATGTCCAAATGGTGCCTGCGAGGTAGGTGACACTCCTCTCTGGCCAGGCTGCCAGTCATCGTGCCCACTTCTTTTCTTCCTTCTCAATGGACTAGTTCTCACTCGCCTCTTTTGTCAGTAAATTACAGTTTTGGAGGATGATATCAGCTTTCTCAGAAGTGCTCAGGGTGCCTGGCATAAAAGCGCAGAGATTGAGACCGGGATGTGACGCAGTAGCACAGCCGAGTCACCTTGTTCTTTCTCCTCCCTCTCTCCTAGCTGCTCAGGATGTGGTGCAGAAGGCTGGCATGTCTGTTCAAGGTGCCATGCCGGCTGAGTGGAAGCACTAGACATCGCTCACCATGGCTGCCCCGTGACAGAAGGACCATCCTCGCTGCCGCGACTCGCTGGCATCACACGGCCCCAGAGTCCCTCAAGTGCGCCTGGCAGTTACACGGTGACCATCTAGGTAGGTGTGTTGGGTGCGTGTGTACCTGCTTTTGAGTCTGTTTGGGGAGAGGAGTGAGATTTTCCTGACCTCGTTCCCTGGGAGTGATTTTTTTTTTTTTTTTTTTTTTTCCTTCTGAAATGGCCTGCATTAGACGGCTGCACGCTGGAGTCTGTTTCATGTTCCCTTTCGGAATTCCCAAAGGCAGGATAGAGCAGGTTTGTCTGCTGGCAATAAGTCTTTTATGATAAACGAGGCAATGCTAAATCAGAAATCAAATCGAGGGATTCCTGAACGATAACTGCATCTGAGCCTTGCTCCGTCAGTCACTTGTTTTCTTTGTAATGCTTGGGGCTCTGACTTCCAAGTGGGATGGCTGGTTTGGTGTGTGCCCTGCTCTCTTGCCCCCACTTGTGCAGGTTTTCCTTAAAGCACTGATGCATGAAATGCAGTTGTTGGAGCAGGTTTGCAAGCAGCCCGTCTGTGGGGCTGGATGGCATGAGAAGCAGGAGGCAGGGGAGGTGTAAAAGCCTTTTTGATGCAAAACGTACCTCACTGTGAGACTGCTGAAAGAAGCCACAAGGAGAGTGTGTCTTAATGTGAAGTAACAGCAGCAAGCCAGTTATAAATGCTGTCTAATGCTGATTTTTGTCCTTTTGTTTTTGGAGGTGACTTGGTAACTGAGGCACATGTTTCCCCATGGCCTGTTTGGTTTGGTCTAGTGTTTTTCTGCCTGGGTGATGTCCTCTGAGGCTAGTTAGATGTTGGTACTCTGAGTTACTTGCAAGCAAAGGGAATTGCTCCGTGCTTTATCCAACACAGTGGCCCCAAGGAAGGATATTACTGTTTTCCCACTGCAAAGTGACCTCAGATGCTAAGATTTCAAAACTGAGTAGGGCTAGAGCAGGAAGGGCTCTCCTGTTGCTCTCCTGGCTCTGGCCCCCTTCTGAAGGGCTTTGAGTATTCCTAAGCTGTCCCAGGATGGAATAAGGAGGAGAGGTGTTATTGTAATGCTAAATGGGTATCAAAGCTTTGCATCAAGGTCTTGGTGTTGTCTGTAATGTTTGTATAGTTCAGACGTTGGTGTGATTATTTGCTTGACTCTGACCTGTATTCCTGTGGTGGCGTTTACAACCTTGTTATGTACAGCAGTTGCTGTACAGCTCTGAATTTCCTACTTGTTGAAGAGAGATGATAGATGTATGTGACCAGCATGTTTGTTAGCCATGCTCCTTCCTGTTGCAGGAAGAGACTGCCTGTAGGCTTGGAGAGAAGGGAGACCATGGTGAGATCACTGACGGCCAGGCCTCCTGTGAAGATATTCTTCCTGGTCTTCATCATGTGACGAGCTAGCTTAATTTACATAGAGGTGCTAAGTCTAACAGCCTCCGCATCCCCTATAAGTGGGATCATAGCTTATGGACTCTCAGCTTTGGTTCTTGGCTTTGTTTTTTCTCGCTGTTCACACCAGTGCATCTTTTGAGCCTGTCCTTCTTTGCAGAGCTCAGGTATGCGAACACGTTGATGCGCTTCGATTTCGTATGGCTGCGAGACCACTGCCGCTCAGCTTCCTGCTACAATGCCAAGACGAACCAGCGCAGCTTGGACACAGCAAGCGTGGACCTGGGAATCAAACCCAAGGCTGTCCGAGTGGATGAGACCACGCTCTTCCTCACATGTAAGTAGCAAAGTGACTGGACCCTGTGTGTTTTACGGACCGCCAGCCCTGCTTGGAGGGAGCCTTGTTGATGGATCCCACTCTTAGGTTTGCTGGGAGAGGGTACTCTTATCTCTAAATCAGTGGCTGTTTTGGGAAGAGATTTAGCTGTAAGCTAATTTTAAACACTGCTCTTCTGAGCAGCACTTACTGTAAACATGCCTCAGTCTTAAATTTGTGTCTGTTTTTCTCCCTACCCCCCACCTCCCCCCACCCCCCAGCCCTTTTTGGGTAGAGATGTGTTGTGTATCTTCAGTGTCTGGGTATTTTATTGATTTGTTTGAACACAGCAGCAATGCAGATAGTGAACAGATCAGTCAAAGAAATGGTTGGTTTTCTTTTTCTTACCCTGTCCTGTTTGAGCTGGTATCCCTGATGAGAATTCACATTTTCTGTCCTTTCTCCTCAGCTTCCCAGCTGCTTTCTTCCTTTTGTTGTAGCTCACCTTTATTTAGGGGTTTGTCTTCAGTGCTTTACTTCTCCTTGGAGTCCTATCAATAGAGAACAAAACCACTGAAGTTGAAACACTTTGCTCTGAATTTAGAGTTATTGCAGTAACAATAATGTTTTTAGGACCTGTGGCCTTAGCCAGATAATATTTTGGATGGCTTCAGGGTGTAAAGAGTCTGTCACCAGACAAAATTAAAAGGTGTCCTAGACCGGTAGTTGCACTGACCGCTATCTCAGGCTGTTCAGTGCGCTTGTGGTGACTGTGACTCTTCTCCCTTGTCAAAGGGCCGGATGGGCACGTGACGCGGTATGGGCTGGAGTGGCTGGTGAAGAACAGCTACGAGGGGCAGAAGCAGCAGGTCATGCACCCACGGATTCTCTGGAATGCAGAAATCTACCGCCAAGCCCAGGTCCCATCCGTTGACTGCCGGAGTTTCCTGGAGACAGACGAGGGACTGAAAGAGTTCCTGCAAAACTTCTTGTTATATGGAATTGCTTTTGTAGAGAATGTCACTCCCACCAAAGAGGACACAGAAATCTTAGCGGAAAGGGTCAGCTTAATCAGGTAACTAGGACTGCCCTGGGAAGGCCACTGACAGCTTTGTAGAGGAGCTGTGAAGGATAGACTGTTATTTTTGTTTGGAAACGTGCTGCGTCTTATCCTATATGTTGTGCAGTATGGCCTGGTTTGCAAACAAAAGGTCTGGGTCTTCTACAGCCTCTGGCCATTCCACTTGAACTGATGGAGAGGGAGTATTGCAGTGTGGGATCTGACCTCTTTTTAAGGCAGAGCCTGGAGTTGCTAGGTTATGGAGCTGCCTCGGGAGCATAGGGTGACTTTTGTGATAGCGGGACTGTGCACAGAGAGGAGTGACTGAAGGAAATAGCCTGTCTGAGAAGACTAGAGCTTTGCAAGGAGAGACATTTCCTGTTATGACTTGAAAGGTTAGGAGTGCAACCCTGGCCCTGGGAGCCAGGGAGATCAAAAACAATTTGTAGCTCTCGCTAAAGAAAAATATTGAGAAATGTTTCTTCTGTGTTTGTTTAAAACGCACCAGCAGCATGGCAAGCCAGGGTTTGAGTTTCAAGTTTTATCCAAGCTACAGAAACAGTTTAACTTGCCTTGGGCCATTGGTAGAGGAGAGATTTCTTTTAATGAATAATCACACCAAATAGAGATGAGGGGCTCCAAGGAATATCCACCCAACTTTTTTCTTGGGGTACCCTCGCCCTGTAGCCCCTGAGTACTGTTTGTCCTTGCCTTCTGTCTGCTCCCTTCCATGTACATTGTAGAGGGGAGGTGGGTGATAATGCAGCATCTTAAGAAGAAGAAATGGGATTATTAGGTAACCCTACAGTGGGTACAAGCAAGGGCTAGCTGCTCTCTAGCAACTCCTCCTGTCACTCAGTGGCTTCCTTGATTTGACTGGAGCTGATGTTTGGTATGGCAAGAAGATCTGTGTTTGTGGAGGGGAAGCAAGACTCAATGTTGTCAGTCTTCTCAGGCAGGAAAGAGAGAAATTGAATACTAGAGGAGGCATAAGAAGCACCATCTCTTGACAATGTGAATTTTGTTAAGTTGTTCTACTTTTAATTTACTCTGTACATAGGATGGAGGGAAGTAACCTCAAATGCAAGAGAGGATCTGCTTTACCATGACACTGATCCCCACAGCGCTTTGTGATAACTGCCCACCTCTTTTGCAGGGAGACCATTTATGGTAGAATGTGGTACTTTACCTCTGACTTTTCTCGGGGAGACACCGCCTACACCAAGCTGGCTCTGGATCGTCACACCGACACAACCTACTTCCAGGAGCCCTGCGGGTAAGTGCTTTTGCTGGTTCACAGATGCACAGTGCAGAAGGCAGGAGTGATTCACAGTCATGACGTTTCTAGCGGCACGGGCTTCATTGTCTCTCCACTGCTGCTGATGGGATGTACTTCTAGTCACACAGCAGTTCTGGGTCCTGTCTGATACCTGTGGGGTGGGGTAGTCAGTAGACCAATTTTTCCTATGCTTGAAACTTCTGGGCCTTCCAAAGTGCAGGCAGTGAAGGACTTAGCTGTTAGATAGCTGGCTGCTGCTTGGTGTTGCTGTGGTTCAAGTAGTCTTTGCAGTGACAAAGAAGGCTCAGCGCTGTAGTTGTTCTGTGCTACCCTGAAGCTTATCTGACAGTCTCTTCTGAAATCACCCTTTCTGTCTCCGAAGTGATTCACAGCATTCAGCCTCTCAGAAATGAGCAGTTGATTTGTCTTTTGAGTACATCTGGCAAGGCTCAGCTCCTCCTGCAGCAAGTGCCCCTTATCAGCTGTTGTACAGAGTTGCTGCAAAAGTTTGCTTTGACTTAATCCTGCTGACCTGGGGCAAGCCCTCTTTGCCCACACCAGCCCTGTCTCTTTTGCTGGCTGAGCTCTGTTAGCGATAGCCTCCGGGGAAGGAGGGAGAACAGCTTGCCTTGGCACAGCCTGCAGTAGCTGTCTCTGCCCTCCCAAGCTGTGCGAGTGGTAACTGACATACGTGCTGTGCTCATGTATGCTCTGTGCAGTCACTCTGCTTCAGTTCAAACAGGTTGGGGTTTGCATTTTGGCAGTGGTGCAGCCCTGTAGGCAGTCAGAAGGCAGGCTTCCCCAGCCCTTCGAAGTTCACAACTGTCTGTGCTTTTAAAAGGAGTTTGCAGCTACAGCATTGTTTCCCAAATGCTAGTTTGTAAACTGCTTTTCTGATATAGCCTCTGGGCTGTGAGTTTTATACACAGCTGGAGAAGGAAAGGCAGCAGCAAAGGCAGCAGCCCTGATCATGGTTCACAGTGAAGTGCAAGAGACTTAGGCTTAATTTCTAGCTTTTTTTTTTTGTCTGCTTTCATCTCAATCAAGAGAGGAATCATCAGGAAATGGCCTGAGGGAGAGCGGATGGAAGTACTGTGATCTCTTATGGAACTAGGGCTGCAAAGAGAAGTCATCCAGTCCACACCTCCTGCCCTAGGGCAGGATTAGCTCTTCCCAAGTGAGGCTGTTAACTTGCTAAACATCTTAATGGGAAAGGTCCGCGGTGCAGAGCTGTAAAAGCAGAGGAGGACTAAGGGGTGAGATCTGTTGGCTGCATGTGAATTTTCAGAGCAGCTCTTCAGACCAGGAGAGGTAGAGTTACCCAAGTGGCACCCTGAGCACTGTTGTCTGGGTCCAGCCAAGGCAGGAAGCTTTTGGGTGGTAGCATTCGTTTTGAAGCAGCTCGGTGTCAGGAGCAAAATAAGTGGATTTTGTGCTCTGTGGAGCTAGAAGTATATGTGTAAAGCATAGGTCCTACCACACACTTCAAGCCACATCTAGTTGGCTTCCCTGTTTTCAGTGAACAGCTGATTGCAGAACCCATGTGCTTTGGTGACCTGCACAGTGTTACCTGCTTGGCTGACTTGTTTTAGGAGCTTACAAAATCTTCTCCAAAATAAAATAAAAAAAGTAATTAGTAATCAGAACTTCAGCCTACAAAAGAGATTTGATTAAACTGCTGGGTGCCAGAATTATAGAGCTCATTAGCTATTTTTATACCTTTCTTTTCTACTTGGAAGGTTTCCCTTCAGGTAGGTGTATTCTCATCTGCAGCCAACTGAAGTATCTCAAGCAATGACAGCATGGGCTAAATTAGTAGGGCTAACCATTAATGCTTGCAATTCTGCAAAACCATAGTTGTGCAGGAAGAACATGAATTTCTGGCTTTCCTGGCCCCCATCTCTGCCAGAAATCCCTTCTTCCCAGGCTGTTTCAGACTTGCTTCCAAAACACTTGAAACAGTCTTTGACCTGCTTCTAAATGAAATGAGGTGTTTTTCAAGAAAGATGTGTTCATTTGAATGTCTGCTTTCCCTCACTGCTTTGGCTGAAATCAGCCAAATCTGACAGTTCTCGAGTTAAATTATTGCAAAGGGTAGAGGATAGAAACTCCCCAAGCTATGGGAAAGACTGCAGCGTTATCTCACTCATCAGGTAGCAAAGAGCCTGCCCTCGGAAGAGGCATCGTCAGTGCCCTGAGCTGCAGGAGGGGTTGTTGCCTTTGAGGCACAGAGTGTCCTTTGCTCCAGCGCTTGTGGGCTGACCTTGTAAAACTACCCTGAAACTGTTGTGGGTAGAAAGGTGGTTAGAGCACCCGGGTGAAAAGGTGCTGGTGAGAGCGGAGCTGGAATGTCCTGCCACATCACTTGCTGTGGCTTAAGAGGCCCTGAAGGGAGAAGATAAAGGCTTTCCCCAAAGGTCACAGTTAATTTTCTAAGGAGTGAAGTTGGTACACTGAAAATTGGGAGTAGGTGGCTCGAGGCAGCTCCTGGGTATTTGTTCCTAACCGTACAATGACTGCCTTGCTTGGATGAAGGAAGAGAAGCTTCAGAGGAGTAATAGAAGGACAAAAGCTGAGCTAGATGGCTTCCTACTAGAGAGGGGGTGTCGCTGTAGGCGAGCTGCTCACTGGGGACTCCTGCTCCAGGCTTTCCAAAGGGTCTTTAGTGTGTTGCGTTGAGGGACTTTTGACTGCTTGTGGGAGACTGTGATGTACATGCCTTTGAGTGACAGTCACCCTGGACTCCCCTTGCAGTTCCTAGAGACCTCAGCAGTACAACCAGCATTTCTTTAACTGTCCTCATGTTCTGAGATGTTCTGGGGAAGTTAGTTTTATGCTTTTGAACCTCTGCATCCTGCTGCCTGGATGGCCTTTGGGCGACACAGGCCTGACCCTACACCACTTGAAGTCTCCCAGACTCATGTCATTTGATTTGGGAGGCAGCACAGGCAGTTAACCTTCTCAGAAAGCAAAATGTGTGAGATTAGGCCTGAAGAAATGGCAGGTACAGTCATTTCTTGCTGGTCTGTCTCCATTCCCGGGCAGGTCTTAGTAAAACGAGAAGGGTGGTGCATACATCTACATCTGACTGGGTCTGTGGGGAACACTTTCTGACCACGGGACAGGCAGCCAAAAAGGTCTTTTCTCTTGTGCTCTGGATTCTCTCATTCATGCAGCATCCAAGTGTTTCACTGCCTGAAGCATGAGGGCACGGGCGGGCGGACGCTGCTGGTGGATGGTTTCTATGCGGCAGAGCAGGTTCTCCGGCAAGCCCCTGATCAATTTGAGCTGCTCAGCAAGGTGCCATTGAAGCACGAGTATGTTGAGAACGTGGGAGACTGTCACAACCACATGATCGGAGTTGGGCCGGTTCTCAATGTCTATCCCTGGAACAATGAGCTTTATCTTATCAGGTAACACCAACGTGAGGCCTCTTGCTTATGGGGAGGAGAGGGAATTGTGGCAGATGGTAGTGGTTTTCCAGAAGACATTATAACCTGAAAACCAACGTATGTTTGAGGGGCAGGGGTGAAACCACAGAAACATCCTGCGTTTCCTCCTGGGCTATGCATTGTTGCTTTAGAGGAAGTGTCAGAACCACTGATACAAAGATGGGTGTCAATGCTGAGCTTTGGTTTTTCACTCCTGTCATCCTCCCTTTGGCTCCATTCCCTCATCTCGCTTCATTTGAGAAGCAGTAGAATTCAGCCCTTGTCTGAAAAAACCTCTAGAAACTAGCCTGGCATACAGGAAACAGGGAGAGCACAGGCTGGTCCCCTTCCAAAGGAATGTGGGCTGCTTTCTGAAACTGCAGGTTGGCTTACTGCAGGAGGCTGTCCAGCACTGCTTTGCACTTTTATTCTGAACAACCCTCAGTCTTGCCCATTGCTGTGGCGCATCCTTCTATGGAAAACCAGCAAGAACAGTTTTACACTTGACAGTAAACTCCTCCTTGCTCCCAGTGTTGTGTCTTCTCCTGAAAGTCCTGCACTTGCAGCATATCCTCCCTAGTCATTTCTGTAGCCTCTTTTAAATACTGACTAATCCTACAAGCTCCTGAGGTTCCCTTTAGAAATACCTGGCTGTGCTTGTGGAGCCATGCGGGCAGTCTCTTATCTCTTCTTCACTTCTAGATACAATAACTATGATCGTGCTGTCATCAACACTGTGCCTTATGATGTTGTGCATCGCTGGTACGCTGCTCACCGCACACTCACCACAGAGCTCAGGAGACCAGAAAATGAACTGTGGGTCAAACTGAAGCCGGGCAAGGTAGGACTTGACGTTGGGAGGCTCGTGTCTGTTTGGTACAGGGAGGGTGGCAGGGTGCTCCTTTGGATGTGCAGGCTTATTGTCACTAAGGTAAATGCTTCAGGCAAGCTCCATATGCTGCAGTTTTCCTGTTTACAGCTGCTTTAAGGTGCCCTGTATTACAGTACTGGCATCTGTTGTGTGTGTGTTCCTACTGTCCTGAAAGAATACAAGCTTCCAGATATGGCAGAAATGTTTAATTCAAACTCTGCCTCAGAGGAAAGTTAGTCCCGACTGAGGGAGAGGAGGAAGATCTTTCTAGTCACTGAAATGAGGACCCTCAGAAGCAGAGAGGCTGGGAAACAATGTTCAGCCTCTAACTTCTTCCAGAAGAAAATTTTATTTTGATGGAAATATAAAGGTGTGAGAAGCTGAATTTAGTTCTCTTCTGAGGTTGTTTCTGAATCTTTACATTGCCAGAGAATCACAGGAGACCTAGGCTTTCTTCACTGTCCCAGAAAGGGCTAAGGTGCCTTAGCACACCTTGGTACTGAAAGGAAAAAGCTCTGCCCTGTGTTTGAAAGGCTGATGCTGGGTGCAGCTTTGGAGGAGCTTGAAGAGCTAGAGCCACAGTTGTAGAGTTGAAGGTATTACAGTGCATGGCTTCTTCGACTGTGCCTGCTTGAAGTGGTTTTGTTCCTACAGGGTCTAGATTCAGCCTGAGCCCAAGGCCCCAAAAATGAAAGGCACCAGCAGGGAAGATGAGCTTATCAGAGCCCCCACACCTCTCTGTTCCCAAGGATGCCTGGGGGGGAAGTGACACCATAGAGGAAGAAGATGGCCAGTTTCTGTTGCTGTTGAACTATTGCCCAACCTTTCCAGTAAACAAGCAAAGAAACAGCCCAGAATGTATTTCTGTGCTTTGCTAGCTGTCACGTTTTAACTTGTAGTTAGCAGCAGAGCAGAACTGCTGGCTTCAGGTAAAACAGCTGTGCTAGATCACATGAAGCATCTGGCTATAGTCTCACGTGCTGTCTCTGACAGTGTTGAACAGGAACGGTCATGCCCACCGTGGCATACCCTTACTTGCTGTTCCAGTCTCTAGGGATCTCTGGCTCCAGGACCTGTCCTGTCAGAGGTTCCTGACCCTGGCTGTGGTGGTTGCCCTTCTTTTGATGGCCTTTTCTCTTTGCCTGCAGGCACTGTTCATAGATAACTGGCGTGTCCTGCACGGACGGGAAGCATTCACAGGGTACCGCCAGCTCTGTGGCTGCTACCTGACGAGAGATGATGTGCTGAACACCGCACGCTTGCTGGGACTCCAAGCTTAGCCCAGACCATCCTCTGTGGAGAGGCAGTCAGACCTCCAGCACCACCGTGGTGCTGTGTCACCACGCCGAAGATGTTGCACATACCTCAGACACCTCCACCCTCTCCAAGTGGTTCTCGGTGCCTGCTCAGGAGAGAGAGCAGGTGGAAGCCAAAGGTTATGGGAGCTTTATGGGACCATATTCTGTCTTTGAGCATGGTCAGCTCTTGCTGTCTGTGCACCCAGCCTGGTCTTTCCAGCCAGCCAGTCTGTCTCAGCTCTGCTGAGTGAGGGTTAATCGCACCACGGGAAGTGCTCCCAGCACCTATTCATGTGAAGTGCTCCTCCAGTCAAGTGCCTTCAGGATCTGAAATCTTTGCATTTTTCCCTGTTGGTTAGCCTTTTTGTCAGCTGGCAGTTCTAGGGTGTTTTTAGCAGAGCAGAATGGAAATCTCTGGGGTCTTGTCTCACCCCAGGCTGGACTTTATGCCTTCTAGAGAAAACAAAAGTCTGTGGTCCCTATTTGATGAAAATGCCACTACTCAAACTGAGGGCTGTTGGCGTATTTCAGTGACTTCTTCCTTCTTAAACACACTCCATATCCCCGTAACAGTCACTGATACAAGCCATGCTGCTTGAGAGATGGCCTGGAAAGAGAACCTGGTACAGTTAGGGTATTTCTGAAAAGGCTTGGGTTAGAAGGAAAGGAGGAAGTAGCAAGATCTGCATGTTGAGAAGGAGAGATGACTGTGTTAGACGAGGGTTGTACTTCTCACGTTTCCTTGACTTACAGTAATGTAATGCTTGTGTTCTTTCTGCCTGTTGCGCTGTGCTTGTATGAAGGGCGAAGGCTCAGCAGCTACAGTATTTGCTGACTAATTTCCCACTGTGCCTGCTCTTTCATCTTTTCTGAAGAAGGAATTTTTGTTAGGTCATCATTACACTGGCTGATGGATGAGGCTGACCATTGGTTTGTTTTTTGGTTTTTTTTTTTTTTCACCACCTTCTTCTGCATATGAAGGTAATGAACACCGAGGTGCCTTTCAGCTCCTGGTAGGTGGGAGGATAAATTGGAGTCTGGCGCATTGAAGGGCCACAGTATAAGAACAAAAGAAAATCCCATCTTTATTAGAAACATTGGAATTTTAGAACCAAGAGAAGATTTTTAGGATTTGTTTATTTTTCATTCTTCCTTATATTTGGGAGTGTTCACTCTGCTCTGGCTAGACCTTAAAACAGGGCTGGTCCCTTTCACTCCTGGCTTTCCTGTGCAAGCAAGATGCTCTTGTGTCCAAGGTACAAGTGGAGCGCAGATGCATCTGTGCTAAACTTGCTGCCCTCATTTATTCTAAATACTGAATATATAGATCCTGGTGTTAAGAGACACTCTTGAAAGCTTCTCTTCATGTGGACTGAGCTACCTGATGCCGTCTTTTTGCAGTATTTCCCGTCTGCGGTGAGCCACTACTGCAGTCATCAGGAGTTGAAAGGGGTTTCTGAGTGAAGGCTTGGCAGGAAGCTGTTGATCAGAGGATATGTGAGGAAGTGAAACATCAGCAATGGTGGCAGGTAATACAAGCTTGAAGTGAGCTGGCTTCTGTCAGGTATGTCTCACAGGGCCTGTGAACAGCAGCCCCGGACACAGGCAGGAACTTGAATTTTCCTCTAGGCTGAGTCACTGAATTCCTTGAGCAGCCTGCAGCATACATTCTGTTACCTTCTTTATCAGGCATTTTGTTCATAGGTTTTCCTTAGGTGCCAGTTACACCAGCATGACTTAGATCTGAAATTTTACAAATATTCGTTAATCGTGTTGAAATAGCAAACCAGTTACATACACTGTCCCTCACGCAGCCCAGCTCCAATGCTCTGGGGTTGGCTTCTGGGTGAAACCGTGGCCTGGAGCATGGGGGAAGAGGTGACAAAAGCCAGTCTCTGTGTTAGTTGACAAAGGAGGGGACAAAGGACCCTGATCAGTATTTGAAACCCTTGGAGCAGTGGAGCCCTCTTTCAAATTATTTGAGGGTATCAAGGGTTCCTGAGTTCTTTTTGCCTCCCTGTGCCCCCAGGATATGAGGGAAAGAGCTTGGGTAATGTGGAAACCTTCCATTAGTCAATGAGATCAGCTTTACCTTCCCTTGCTCAGGCGACCTCTGTCTTTTATCAGCTGCAAGCTGAAAATCTGCCGCTACCCTGAGCTGGAGCATGCAGGACTATGGCTAGCACAAGGGAGAACTGACCAAAGTGTTTTGATGACAGATTGTTGTGACATAGGTGCCTTTCTGACAAGGAATGTGGTGACTGTAGCTCTGCCTCCTGCTGTGGCTGTTGCTGCGAAGGGCTGTGGTCTTCAGACACCAACCTCTTATGAGCCAACTCCAAGCCAACGGGCTCCTCAAGATGATTGTGTAATCTGTTGTGGGGAAAATTGTTCCTGGTGAATGTAGAAGAAACACATTTCTTCATTTGAGTAATACCTATGAATTTAGCCACCCTAACAATAAAATGTGGAGTGGAGGGAGCTTTGTTTAAATCTGGTGCTTCACCTCTCCCCACTTCCCAAGAGGGCTAAATTCTTCCTAAGCAGCTTGTGAGCATCAAAACTTTATTTGAAGGGACATGACTTCTTGGCAGTTGCCATCTGTCTCATGTGGGTGTTTGTTGTGCCATGTTACAGAACAGGTTCTGTTTGCTGTAATGATACTGTATCAGGTTTTGTAATCAAGCTTTTTCAATTCTTTCAGCCAATAAATGAACCGCTTCCTTCTCCTTCCCCCTATGCTGGTGATCCAATATATGTGTTTAAGACATTTTCTAAAACTAAGAAATCGAGTCTTCAAATAAATGATTTATAAAGTGGTCAGCTTAACAAAATATATATTTCAAGCAATCACAAACTTGAAAATAAGTCTGTATTACCCATCGAAGGTGGAATAAACATGAGGAGCAGTAAACGAATGCATTGCCGTTGAGTTGTTCATTCGTTCACTGGCCACACGATGGCAGAAGATGCAAGAAATTAATATCAAAAAGTCAATGACAAGTCCCATCCCTATGTGGCTTTAGGGCTAGCAGCGGTGCTGGTTCTGTTTGTTCTGCTGTGCTATATCCATTTCTTCTGAGGAACCCCAGGAGCTGCTGTTCAAAAGCCTGTATGACTATGAACACTTTTAAAGAGCTGCAGGATATGACAAAAAAGGGTGGAGGGCGGAATGGAGATGATGTGAGGGGACATGGAAGGAATCTGAGAGTGCAGCGGAGGTGATCTGAGGGTGCATGGGGAAAAACAGAGGTGATTTGAAGGCAAGTGGGGCAGGAAGGAAGCTGAGCTACGTGCAATCTGAGGGCAAACAGAGCTAATCTGATGGCACCCAGAGAGGAAAGGAGCTACATGAGGGCTCTTGGAGGGCAGCGTGTACCCTGGGGTCCTTGGTTCCCATCTACGTATGTCCCAGGTCCCAGTTTGGTCCCTTTTGCTACCGGGGGCCATTTCTCCCTAACTTCCACTTGCCCTCTGGTCTGCTCCAGACTGCCCCATTTGCCATCCAGTGCCTCCCAGCATCCCTCTATTTGGTGTCTTGTCTCCGCAGGATTCCCTTTTGTCCCCTTGGGACTGCTCCCCTTCCTCTTGGGTGTGCAGTACAGCCCATCATTCAGCTTTTGGTGCTCCCCAGAGTCCTCAGTCCTTCAGTGAAACCAGATCCCCCCCTTACCTGCTGCTCCTATTAGGAACCCCCATTTTTCATCCAGTATGACCTAGAGCTTTCTGTTTTCCTCCCAGTGTGCTCCAGAGCCCCCTGCTCAACCACAGGTCTCAGGATTGCTCTGTTTCATCTTTTGGTGCATCCCTCCCTTGGTCCCCTCAGTGCAGCGAGGAGCCTTTCGCTCCTCACAGGGCTTGCATAAAAAAGAAATAAGCTGCTTTTGACCCAGCAAAGAATAGTTTGATAGAGGCTACCAAAAAAGGAAAAAGAATGTATGTATTGTTCTTGCAACTGTTTGATCCATGCTTCCCTCAGCTACAATCTATGTGTAGTGAATAAAAGCCTTTTCTTACATAAAAAAAAGTTTTAATTCTGCACTTACTCTACTGAAATTATTCTTAGCTAGGCTGAAAAGTATTTACATTTTTTAGCTTTACTCCTAATTTCTTTCCTTTTTGGCTACTGGGAAACATAGAAGCTATTTTAATAGGGTCCTTCAGCTAAGTTAACTAAAAATGTATTACCTAAAGTTAATTACTAACTTAATTAAAAACCTCAGTTCAAACGTGAACTGTGAGGATCAGAGAGACACGAACAGTTTTGCTATGGAAATGGGGCAATATGAATTTACAGAAAAACAAGGCAGAAGCAAATTAATATGTGGCAAGTATCACAATTTGAAGGAAAGACAGATGGTGCAAGCGAATTTCCTTGTGATTAACCTCAGAGATGTGCAGGAAGAGTGGACTGCTGTCGATAGCACGTGAAACTTTAAAGGTAATGTGCAGACCACACAGCAGACCTCACAGTAACAAACTCTCCTGGAAACTCTTTGTTACACCTCCTGCTTTTCTTAAATAATTTGCAGCAACACAGACATCTCTGGTTTGAGTTGACGTCTGCTAATTTTACCCAGTGTCTCTTTTCTCCTCACCTTTTTCTGTTTGAATTTCAGACTTCCTTAGTCATTAGCCAGAGAAATTATGTATTCATTGACAGATGTTGCTACACCACTAATGGGAAGTACCCATTTCCAGTTCGTTACTGTTCATTAACTGTATCATCGTAGCACTTCGAGCCTCGGGAATGTAACGGGGATAAATATATTGGATGAGGGAGAGAAGCAAATTGTCACCTAGTCCCCCTTTAATAACTTCCAATAGATCTAGTGAAATAAAGGGAAAACCTCAACAAACTCATAGGAGTGGTGATTATAGCACCAGTCCGAGATTTTCCAAGTGATTAATTACTCTCCTGTTATTTCACACCAACCCATCTACCAGGCATGTACAATTGACTTGTGGTTAATTAATCCCTTAGAGCATCTCTAAAGGGTTTAGGGCTGGGCACAGCAGCCGTGGGGCTGAAGGGGCTTGGGGAGACAGGGCTGGCAGAGCACCCTCTGCTCCGCTCTGCCCTCCAGCACAAAGAGGCAAAAAAGGGACAAAAAGGGGGGGTTTATGTGAAAACAGCCACTAGGGATCACCACAAAACCTGTTGCTCCAAAACAGTTTGATTTCTCAGAACAGCCAAACCTCAAAATGTTTCACAGGCAGGGAATTTTATTATTTTACTGAAAAAAACTGAAGGCAAAACCAGCTCAGAAACTCCTGTTTGGACCCCCCGGGGCAGATCACTCCCGTCTCTGCAGTGCTTGTAGCATCGCACCCCAGGGAAATACCAGCAGGGAATTCTAACTAATATTTTGATGAAGAATTCGGGCTTGAAAACACTGGAAAGGCGGAAAGCAGAAGCTGTAAGGCAGTAAGAGCTGAAAGACTGCTAACGCAGAAGAGAAGATATGAAATAAAGAGAGAATAAAGATTCCCCAAAGTCAGAGTTACATTCTGAGAAAATATTGTGTGTTTAAAGAAACAATCCCCATCTAGCACCGGTTAAAGACACTTTTAAATGCACATACATAAGCCCTGGTGAAAGGTAAGGAGAAGTTTCACTATTGGCATTTGCTGAGTCAGACTTCAGTGTCAAAAGAGTCAAAAAAAGACACTTGTGAGAGGCACAGAGCACAAGGAATCTGGCTGAACACAGGAAAAGGGGTGTTAGCCCTTTCTCCTGCATCAAAATCCTTCTGTTAAAACATTGGTTATGCAGAAAACTCATTTTTCAGGGGAAAGCATCTATCAACCAGCACGTTTGTTCTGGTCCCTCCAGAGAGCAGATAGAGGGGGGTGTTACATGCATTGCTGATTACTGCCTGCTCTCCATCTGCAAGCATTTGTACTATTTAGAGGTTTGTATTTTGCTGATGTGCATATTAATGTAAAACACAGGAGTCACAGATGGTGACGCTTTATGCTCAGCGACATGCAAGAAGGGGCAAAACTATTCCCTGCATAAGTTTAGGGAAGGAAGAAATGAGTATATTTTGAATGACAAGAATATATATATCCAAGCCCTTGAGGACTAATAACTTAGCTCATCTGGAAAAGCTGATGTGCTCCCCTTGGATGAGCTCTCTAAACACAGCCTGAAGCCACTCTGGGCATGGGGACAGCCCTTGACAAGGCTTTGCATCAGCAAGTTTGCAGCAGATCACCTGGATAAAGGATGCATGTAAGCTTTTTCCTCCAGTTTTCAGGTTTAATCTTGATTTCCACAAGATTTTAATTTTATTTCTATGTCCTTTCCACATATTTGCAGTCATTGTGTGTATCTTTCTGGATATTGTAAACAAATACTTTTCCTTTAATGCAGCTCCAGGTGAAGAGGATTTGAAGGCAATTAGGTAATAAAATGGCAGTCTTTTCCCATGAGTGTGTTGATGAATTGTGGTCCATAAAATCAGCCTCAAAGCTTTCCCTAGGGAAGAGAAGTAAAGGGGGTTGTGGTGCTTTTCTGTGTGCAAAAGGAACGGAAAGTTAAGTACTGGGGGAGGTGCGTCTTTTTATGAGTAGCAATAGCTAGCTGGGCTCTCTGATATGTAGTAGAGTGGGGGATTTTCCACTATTCCCAGAGCATTTTTGAGGGGGAAGCCAGAAGGAGACTGCTGGGTCCCAAGATTAGGTGATCCTCACTAGGAGAATGTACAATTATATCTCAAATATGCTGGCTTTATCCAGGCTAAAAGTGAAGGGAAGGAACTTTGCTCTTTCCAGCTTGTACTCCCTAAAAACCGGAAAAACTGGGTATTTTTAGTGATGTTCAAATGTGTTGCACAGCATGTTGTCTGGCAGAGATGCTTGCTTGAGTTGGAGATGCCCCAGCACGTGCTCAGGGGATCAGTGCTAAAGAAATCACGTATGTGTTGCTAATCAGAAAAGGGGATGCGTTTGTCATGCAGACTAATGTGGCTGTTAAATGTTAATGAATACGAATAAATTCTTTGTGGGTGTAACTTTTCAGAAGATGTGTATCAAGACATGAGACCGCACTGTGGCCTGGGGTGGTGTGGATGGTTGTCACCTGGCAGCTGCTGCCACAATTGGTAATTCTAAGTTGATTTCTTCATATTGAAGTATAAAGTGATCATGGTGGAATAGTAATTTTTTCCTTTAGCTTGAGTATTTCTCAGCTATACTTAGATTAGACTTCAATTTCTTTAGGCTTGTAACTCTTTAAGGGTTTTGATTTAGGTGCTTTAACCCTCTCAAAGAGGAAACTGTGGCAATAGGAGCGTGGGCACAGAGCCCCACGCACGCACTGCCTGGGGCTGGGGGAAGGCAAGTCCTGCTTTGCTCTGCCCTTTTTGAGACCTAACCGCAGAAGATGAGTTCATCCATGAAATGCTGCTGTCACCAAACCATCAACCTGAGTAAAGCGGTGCTTCCCCCCCACTCACCCCCCTCCTATTTCCCCCTAAAGCACAAGTCTGGAGATGCTGGCTGGTGCCTGTGCAGGGCTGGAGGCTCATCCTGACCAGAGGAGGAGGAGGGAGTCTTATGGCAATCCTAAAACTAACCTGGGAAAGACACGTCTATGGGATTTCTTAAGGAGAGGCATTACCTGAAAGCATATGGTGCCAAATGCATGGCACTTCGGCTGTGAAAATGGACTCTATTATTTTCCTGGTGTCTCTTGACTGATGATGTGCCATTGCCCATGGCAATGGGCTGGTGATGACATCTGTGGTCTGTAAAGCCCTTTCAGTGGGTCCTTGCTTCCCCACCACCATCAGAACAAATATCCTCAGAGCAATTTCAGGATGCTTCAAAGAGAGAAGAGAACTCCCATGCGCTTTTCCTGTTACGTGCTGGCAGAGACAAACTGGATGTATTTCATATCTGTAGCTGC